ATAACGAAAGGCATCTTCCCTTCTTATGAAAATTCATTACAAATTGAAAAAGGAACCAAATTTACTCAAGTTTAAGGATAAGCGTAAGTTTTGCCGGTGTTTGCATAAGACCGTAACAATTGATTGGAATGCGTAACACTTACGGCAAATGCGTACGGGTTGACATGTCTGTAGAAATAGCATTGCAGTTGAGGAACTATATTTTAAGTGGAAAAACATCAACTGATATATATTAAAATCAATTGTAGAACAACAAAAAATCAAGTCTAAATTTTTAGTACCTACGGAGATAGAAATTGCATTAACATAATTTCAAAAGTCAGAAATGTCATTTTCGGTCATTTTCCGAGAAAAGATTGTATTGGAGCGAATACAAACTTATATATTTTGATTATTTTGAAACCAATATCAAGTCGTTATTAGAGAGAATATTAACTTACATATTCTGAACAACTTGAGACCAAAACCAAGGCTCTATGTTGAGTAGGACTAGTTATGGAGATATAGAAATTATTTTATTAAAAATTAGGTCAAAGGTCAGAAATGTCATTTTCGGTCATTTTTCAAGTGAATATAAACTCGTATATTCTGAACAATTTGAGACCTAAAGTGTCTATGTTGAGTAGTTATGGAGATACAGACATTTCATTATCATAAGATCAAAGGTCAGAAATGACATTGCCGGTCATTTGCCTGTAAACCTTTTCATTAGAGCAAATATAAACATATACATTACAAACAATTTGAGTCCAAAAGTTTTTGTGATATGCCGTTTTCAAGATATGGACATTTAATTTCAAAATAGAGCCCATTTTTAAAATCAAAGTGGCAGAAATCTGCCATCCATCATGGTTTTTTGTGTTATTTGGGACCACCTAATCATTATCTAAATAGGTTGATCCTTCTATTCATCAAAATCCAAGGGGACCTTATTTTTATGCAAAGTCCCCCTGACTAATAATATTTATATATGTTTTTACTTATGTATATACAGTTGTTCAGTGAATTATTTTTACGGCCGTGGATACTGCAGCAATTAGGCGTGGTGAAATTGAAACTCTATTGGAAAGTATATGGGGAAGATGTGTTGCTTGCATTTACATCGACACCAACAAATGCTCCCATCGTTACAGCAAGATTTGGTGCAGGTAATATATATCCATGTATATTTTGTTGTTGTTGTTTTTTTTTTACAGTATACATAATTATATATTGTTGCCTTTATTTTAGATTTGTTGTGTTCTATCTTATTTGAGAGGGAGATTAATTTTCTTACAACAATACGAAGAAATACAATAAAGTTTTCTATAATTTCCTAATTATATTTATGAAAAACAAACCAAACACTGTATGGTCATGCTGTACCAATCAAGTTGCAGAATCTTCAAAATGTTGAAGGCGGCAACTTAACTGAAAAATAATAAGAAGAAGAAAACAAATACAGTTATTCAAAAACAAAACATCACAAACATCAAAAGATATTTATTCCCTTTGCTGTTTCTGGAATTTCCCTATATGACTTACCATCAAACTACATATTAGCGTGCTGACAATAATGATTTCTGACAAGTCTATCGTGCGATATTAGTATTAACGTCTGACACGTTTAAAAAATGAAAGGAATTACTGTATCTCCAAAGCGTCCTTGTGGTTTAGTGGTTATGACGTTCGCCGTGAATGGGAAAGGTTCCTAGTGTCTTTTTTTTTGTCAGTTTCCTCTTCTATCACGTTTCACTTTCACTATGTATATATATATATCTACAATACTATATAACTTTTAAAACTTTGAGAGAAATCTGCGAGTGTAAAAAAGTTTTTATTGTCTATGCAGACGCCTTAACCAAATGGATCAACAGTATCGTTGGGAATAATCCTGTCAGGAAGAAATTATTTTCCCATCTGACACATGCATCTGAAAACTTTACTGTATTCCCTAATGTATTGCAAATTTGTTCACTTATTTATTACTTACTTATTAAACATATTTAGGCGAAATAACATATACAGATGAGATGGTAAAGCTTTTTTACAACAGGGTCCTGCAAAGGTAAAATAGTATTATCAACAATAACTTGAAGATTGCCTAAAACATTACTGACCTTAGTTAACAAGAAAACTACCTAAAACAACAAAACACGTTTATTAATTAAGTATAATTTTATTATAACACATATTATATATTTTGTTGTCAATAAGCCCGATCAACCAAGGTTACTCTACGTTACACCAATTTGATATATAGTTGAACAGGTCCAAATAACCGTCGGGAACATTGTATTACACAATGCTACGCCTCAAGAGGGCGTTCGGCCGGATAAATCTTGTAATACGGCTAGAAGCTAGAAATACTGTCGTATATTATATATGATATTGAATTATATGATATATATATATATATATATATATATAATATTGAAAGGAGTTAGCCGTTAACACTGTTGAATAAATATAATATAAATCATCAAAGGTACATATACAGTGTTTACATAAGGACAAGATGGAACATCGTAGGCTACCCTGTAGCTTTCAACGAATGAAGTCCTATAAAAGTCATTGTGTAATAAAATGCCTCCGACGGGATTCGAACCTGCGACCTCTCGCTGACAAGGCGAGCCTCATAACCACTAGACCACGAAGGTTTCATGGTTGAACAGGTCCAAATAACTGTCGGGAACGTTGTATTACACAATGCTACGCCTCAAGAGGGCGTTCGGCCAGATAAATCAGGTAATACGGCTAGAAATACTGTCGTATATTATATATGATATTGATTTTATTACACAATGACTTTTATAGGACTTCATTCGTTGAAAGCTACAGGGTAGCCTACGATGTTCCATCATGTCCTTATGTAAACACTGTATATGTACCTTTGATGATTTATATTATATTTATTCAACAGTGTTAACGGCTAACACCTTTCAATATCATATATAATATATATCTCAACGTAATAAATGATTATCCTAATCAACACATTCAAACAACGGCTCAAAACACATCTTTTTAATTTATATTTAACTTTACCTACGGATTTTTATTTCTAATGTAAATCGCATCGAGGCTTTAGCAAAATGTGTAATTAATATTATCATTATATATATATATATATATATACATGTATATTTATATATAGATGAGACAACAGTAGTAAATGATTTTCCTAACCAACACATTTAAACAACGGCTCAAAACACCTCTTTTTAATTTATATTTAACTTAACCTACGGATTTTTATTTCTAATGTAAAGCGCATCGAGGCTTTAGCAAAATGTGTAATTAATATTATCATTATATATATATATATATATATACATGTATATTCTTCTTTCTAGACTTTTCTGGAGGCTTGTGTTGTTGTGATGTTACAAGAAATGGCATACTTATTGAATCGACAATGCAATTTGGCGTATTTGACTCAACTCCATTCTCAAGGCTCCTTCAACCAGAGACTGTAAATTCTCCAATTCAAGTACTGCTACAATACGATTTGACACCACAACTTATAATCCCCAACGATGTCCTGATTCTAACAGAAGTGGTCGAGAAGTTTGAGAACACATCAGCACAACTAGACGAGCTTGCAAAAGAACTTGCATTGGTAATAAATGATATGGCTATCAGGATCAGTTCCAGAGCTAAGCTGTTTCAACATTTGGTATTTGCTTATCATAGAGCCACAATTCAAGATGATGTAACAGTAATTGCAGATGTGTTATCAAATATAACTGCTAATTGCAAATTTACATTGAATGATTTATGGACTGTGAAAGATGAACTCAGTTATCGAGAGCAGAACCATCACTTGCTGTTTCCATCCTATTTGAAAGAAAATATTGATAACGCTATAGTGTCGTTAGAGTACAACAGAAATGCCTTATTCATTCAGATACAATCAACATTCGTCAACGAATCTATCAGTGGTACTGGTTTCCTCATCACATGCAAAGTATGTTTTTCGGAAAGTTTGTGCATGCCTGCCTTGGAAGTCAATGTTTTCGATTCCGCATCGAACAAATATTGTAGCGATACTGCAACTTCTTTTCCTTTTGAAAATTATGGAGACGCAATTTGGCTTTCAGGAGAGTATCAAAATGAAGTTACACTGAACAGTTTTATTACAATCCCTGCTATTTCCCAACTTGTTGTGGCAATGAGCTCTACAGAAGAACGTTTCTCAGGGAAAGTACGTGCAAATGCAAACCTGCTCGGTATTAACAAAGCTACTACCATGTACATAGAACAAAGAGCGGGTATTTACTTCGGCTTGTCGGATAGGCTTTGGGGATTCTACGATTGTGATATAAATATTACTTCGGATTTTACCTCTTGGGATTCGATGATACTCAATGCGGAAGGTAATATTGCTGTAGAGAAAGAAACATCGCTAGCAAACATTTTGAAAGATAAAGCCATTACTATAGCAGAACGAAATCTGCACATGGCAGAGCAAAGAATAACACAGGGAATTTCGTCTGTAGACATGGCACAGAGCAAGCTCAATAATGCTTTGATTGAGCGTCAGATGAAAGAAGCCATAATGATTGAAGCTCAATTAAAGTACGACTTGTGTTTACGTAATTTAGAGGCTGCAAATGATGAGGTAGAGCGGGCACAATTGTCATTTGAAGAAGTAAGTGATGATATACTTGAACTAAAAGACGAGTTAGATTTGGTATGTGCGATTGTACCTTGTCCTGGTATATGCATCCCAACAACAGAAGTCATACAAACAACAAATAAAGTTTATTCTTTTGTCCCCTACAAATGCTGTACTGATAGAAAAGAAGACATCGTTGTTAATGAAAGAACCCGTTGTTGTAAGGAATGTATGGACTACACTGCAGTGAAAAAAACATCAATTAAATTCAACCTTGTTAAGTTGGTCAAAGGTATATTTTCGCTAGTGTCGAAGCAATATAAAAAAGGAGTTGTCTCAATCGTAAGCTCAATAGGCTTAAAAAGGAGCAAACGTATGGCGGGTAGAAAATCTAAATGTTGTGAAGAATGTTATAATCCTGTAAAATTTGAAGTTAAATTTAGATCATGTAGCTCGTGCACTAAAAAAAAGATAATTGGTCAAATAACAAAGCCTGAAATAGTTGAAAACATGTGTGGGTACCAGATACCTGATTCCAATTGTATAAGAAGCAACGAGAATTGTCGGAAAGTAAGAAGTAAATTGTTTAAACAATCAGAATCATCAGCGCCTGGCTTGGCTTCCCCAATAGCTAACCTTGAAAATGCTAAATTAAATGCAGCAGTAAAAGAGTCGAATTTGAATGAAGCCCGAATTGAACTTGAAAATGCGAATAGTCAATGGGACGTTGCGTATGAAAGGATGTATGTATTGCAAGAAAATCTGAATAACTCAAAGACTGCCCTTGAAGAAGTTCAAAAAGATGTTCAATCTGATCTGAATATTGGACAATTTGAGTTGAATGATTCTTTAAGTAACAGTTTTATTATTAACAAAATCAGCTTTAACGTTGATTTGACAATCCCCGATATGACAATAATTCCCATGGATATCAGTTACACGTTGTTAAAAGTGCCCAACCGTATTCGAATTTTTATTGACTTCAACAATCTAAACTACACTATCGATAAAGCCGCAGTGTTTTTAGCTAACGAAATATTTCGTAACGATAGTAACACTTTAAGGAAAAAAAGAGAAGTTTACCTTTCTGATTCAGGCTTCAGTTATCATCAAAAACGAGACATTTCCCCGATCACCACTCAGCCACAAATCGATAGTGTTAACTATGATTTCATGACAGACAATTTCAATGTAACTGATAATATAAAGCGTGATCAGAAAACAGTTTATACTGAAGAACTATGTCACATATTTACTGAACTTGTGCAGTACATCGAATACTCCTTCCATACGCTGTCGAATATTGCAAAAACATCATTCATTGATCCATTCGAACCATCTGAAACTCTTCTTGATGACTATGCATATAACTTGTCGAAGCCTTTTGCAATTAGTGTCAACGAAACTGCTGCAATAGTTTTTTTTAATTTAACAAGAGGAGAGCTAGAGGAAACAGATGATGTACCATCCGATGAGTTGGAATCAGATGCATTATCGAGGGTCATTTATTCGGAAAAAAGAAAAGTCAACAGCACGCAGTCTTTGCTTGAAACTGACGATATTTTTTCAAGATGGGAAGCTACAATGAACAGATACATTACCAATGACAGTCGAATGTTTGAATGTAAAACATTTACTGATTGCTTAACCTCAGATATAGAGCATCTAAATAATATACTAGAAAATCGCATGGGTTATAATGAATTATCTTCTATAACAACATTCACTCATTCACTCTTGAATAACGGTGAACTGAGTGTAGAGGAAGCAGAATATAGCGCAGTGTTTGTTCTCAATCATACAAACTTTTTGACTAAGAATAATGACATATGTCTGAAAAGTCCTGTCATTACACGGCACCCGGTGTCACAACTTGTTACTGTTGAAGGAAATGATACAGAGATCGTGTGTCAAGCAACTGGAGATCCTGCACCAACGTTCAGTTGGACATTCAATGGCCGAATTTTAGACAATGAAAATTCAAACACTCTACACATTCAAGAAGTTTCAAAATCTGATTCTGGAGTTTACGTGTGCCATGCCAGTAATGAGGTCACTTCTGTGCAGTCGCTACAATGTAAACTCATTGTAGAATATCCACCAGTTATAAATCAACACCCAGAAGATAGTGACATTGATTACGGGAATCCTGAAGGGGTATTCTTCGCATGTAACGCTTCATCTTTTCCTTTAGCTAACTTCAGATGGTTCTTCCAAGAAGTATTAACATCAGATTTGACCCTCATTGAAGGGGAGACTGGCACAGGTCTAGAGATACTGAGTCCAGGTTTTCATCATGGCTGCTGGTACACTTGCGAAGCATCAAACAAGCACGGAACAACGCTGTCTAAACCAGCAAGACTTACAATATTGAACATAACAATGCCAGACGTTTCCAGTCGAGTCCTATGGATCTAACATTGTTAGAAGTAGAAAATTCAACGTATCTTAATCAGTCTGTTGCAAGTGCAATTGAAAATATATTAGAAACTGGTGACAAAATGTTCAAGGTTTCCTATCACCCCAAAGAAAACCAAGGGCAAAACTCAATTCTTACAGAAGTATCATTTACACTAGAGCACACCAATGTAACGTCTATCGATCTTCTGAATGCTAGTAGAGAGGAGGCTGCATACCAAATGGCCGATAAGATAGATAGCCTTCGCGTGAAAGCCCTGGCACTGGATAGTCTTTTTAAACCCGGAGTACAATTTGAGCAGGATGGTAAAGCCATGGAAGTGATCAGCTTCAAAGTGTATTATAATGGCCCGATCTGCCCTCCTTCACAGTACGCCGATGCAAATGGATACATATGTGGTAAGTTAGGCTAATGACTACACAGCGACATTTTTTCTGGAAATCCTTTAAAGCCCAGGAATAATTAAGCAATCATTTTTAACAGGCTTATTTTGTTCATTGCGTTGACTAATTTTGCAAGACAATATGTCTTCCATGTTTACAGTATAAAAATCTGATGGGGTTTTTCAGCAACCTGTGTAGCCCGATTATAAAGCAATTATATTTAATTATGTAGAATTTTATTAGATTACCAGTAATTCTGGTCATAATTGTATTTTACTGTAGTTGACTGCCCACCAGGGTCGTTTAGAAGTAATGAAAATCTACCAGCAGCGTGCGAGATGTGTCCAGAAGGAACTTACCAACCGAAAGCTGGTCAGCTAAGGTGTCTTGAGTGTAAAGGAGAGAGTACCCTAAATTCAAGAAACTGCCTTCAGCAATCCAGTGAGCTTTATTTTTAATACATGATCATCTTTTATTATTCAGCAATCCAAAGACATTTATTTTTAATACATGATAATATGTTATTATATAAAGCTAAGAGGCGTACAACAAATTTAAAAGAAACTACCGAATTTTAGGACAATATCATTTCAAATGTTAGAATAGATTAAAATAGATTCTCCATAGAGACTGCCTACATATACATATAAAAGGTGTTAAATCATTTATCAAATTACACCAAAAAAAATCGATGGAAAATCCCATGTAAAATAATAATTTTGTTTTTAGCGACGGCCACGATCTTCAAATTCATGGTATAGCTATGTGCTATATGTATTTATTGGCCAACTTCCTGTCCTATAGCACAGAAAAACCACAGGTATTGTTTGGTTACATTGATGGTATCTTCATGATCTGGAATCATGGTGAAGATAGTGTGGACACGTTACTACTAAACATTGAACTTGGCTCGTTCGATCATTACTGCTACTAAATCCACTAGCAGTGTGGACTCGTTTACATTACCGCAATTTGTGCAAACCAGATCCCTAAATCCACTGATAGGCCTAAGCATTATGAAGCCGCTCATATATAAACAGTAATCCCCAAAAATGTAGTAAAAATATGCTTTCATCAGATTTAAATTTTCAGAATCGCACTGAAGTACTATCCGGACACCACCACAATATAAATTATCAGTGATGATCTATTGAAACTGCCACCGTATTAAAAAGCAAAATATATTAGTCAGGTCTAATATAAAGAGATAAATTAACTCTTCTGACAACCACCACCTGGGCAGTCATCTTCGTAGTTCATCATAATTATTATTATATTCCTCTTATTATTATTATTATTATTATTATTATTATTATTATTATTATTATTGATAATACATTGATAAGATGATGATGATAATGACGTTAGTAATAGTGATGACAACTACGATAACGATGATAATATATGGTGATGACGACAACGACGACGTTAACGCTGATGACAATATTATTTATGCTTCAGATATCCATAAAACTTCTGACTGTTTAAGTAACTATTAATAAAGGTAATTTACTAAAATGAATGTGATCTGACTTTGTTTTTAGCTGAAAATCCTTCTATGACCACGACGGAACCGACCACGACCTTCTATCAACATAATATAACCTCGAAAAGCTACCATGTCTCCAACAGGCCAACGGTATATTTTACGTTTCTGTTTTAGGACTGTACATATTTTTACTGGTATGGTATGGTAGAAGTCACTATGGCTACAGAATCGATTGTATTCTTTTCGTTCATCATGTAAAATGTACATTAACTTACACTTAAAAGGCTGCACTTTGCTAAATTGCAAACAAGGTTGATTAATGCAACCTACATTAATTTCATTTTACTTGTTCCAAAAGAAAGATGAAATAATTGTTTGGCGATAATGGGTCATGTAGCCACACAAGAGTGTCCGGACGCTTAGTGGTACTAAAAAGTGGAACAGGGGAATATAATGCTAGGTTGCCGACCAAACAACCGCCAATTGCAAAATAAACCAATTATTTCCCTTCCGCCATTTTTGTCTCATTTTCAAAAATCATAAAAAATACCAATAAAAGCAAAGTTGAATGAGACTTGCCAAAAGGAGATTGAAAATCTCAGTCGAGTGGGTCACCAATAAGTTACTTAGGCCTTCTACGATATTAGCAAAAGAATAATTATAAACATTAAAATTTCATAACATATAAATATAATATACATTAACTATTGCAATGATAATAATAATAATAAATAATAATTGATAAAAAGATTATCTTTAAATACTTTTGGTTAAAATACAAATGTGAATGCATTAATATTATTATTATTGTTATTATTATTATTAATAATATTATTATTATTATACAAATATTGAACACTGTAAAAAAAAACTTGAATTTTAGGAATAATACTTATTCTTATCCCATTTAATAATTGAATTTGTAAACATAATGAAGCGTTGTTTTTTTTGTAGGTCGACAGTGTTGTTAGCCGATTAATAGTGGTACTACCTGTTGTTGGATCTGTTGCATTCGTTATCATTTCTGTGGTTGTCATATTGCTTGGTAAGAAGCCAGTATATCCCATAATGGAAAAAAGAAAAAATATCTGTACCACTTTTATTTGGCCTACACTACTTTCTACTACTACTACTACTATTACTACTGCTGCTGCTGCTGCTGCTGCTGCTGCTACTTTAGATAATGTAAAAATTAGCCCTATATGAAATATTACAATAGTAATAATAATATAATTATAATTCATATTATAATAACAATATAATAATGCAATAGTATAATCAAATTATAATAATATCGATAATAGCAACTGTCAGTGATAAATCCAAGAGGTGGAAAAAGGATAACACACCACCCGCCCCTTGTGGTCCTGCTTCCTTGGACATTAGGTCAACGATTGCCACTCACCCTACTAAAGACAGTATTAGTATCAGTAACAACAACAGTGGCGTATTTAGACGTCTTGAAATTGGGGTGCTGATGGTGGGGAGCGAAGGTGAGGTGGGGTGGGGGGCTCGATGATCAGTTAAGGGGAGCTAATTCGCAAAATAAGGTGATTTTAGGTGATTTTTAACTACTTGACTTTGATTTGGAGAAGGGCGACTGAAGGGGCGCGAGTAATTTTTGGGGGACGAGCGCCCCCCCCCCCCACGTAGATACGCCATTGAACAACAACAGTAAAAGTAATACTAAATAACAATAACAATAACAACTACAATAATAATAGTTACAAAAAAAACTAATGATTTTTTTTATATGTATATTATTATTCTGTAGTCAAACGTGCTAAGAAGAAAGCCAAGATCGGAATAGAAATCTCAGTACAAGATGATCAGATTTTAGAGCCAATCAAACACGAGGAAAATATATATTCGTTTGTAAACGGACTAGACGATGCTCATGCTACAGATGTCATGTAGAAGACAACCTGTGTTACATTTGTACCTTTGATGTTAAAGATGTACTCTATATAAATCCAAAACCACTGAATAGACACCTGAAAGTTCCTGGTTTTTCTATAGAATCATAGAATATTCTCTTTGAAAAAAAGTGCAACCATAAAGAAAATGTATATATATATATATGTATATATATATAT